GTGCACCATTAAGCTAGACGTGCACTTGATTTGCCCGTCACGGTAACTGACCAGTGAAAAGTCATGGCACAGATCGATCGATCAACCTTTATCGCTGCTTTATTATATCCGATCGTATTGAATTACCGATTATCACGATTGATCGGAAGCTCGTCAAACGAAACGTCGTGGTGGGCCTCCGTTCATTAGGCCTAATAGTTTCAAAGACCGGGTTTTTTCATTCGTCCAGGGCTTTTGTTAATCGTGAGCAGCTCGGTAACGGGTGTTGAATGGCCGCAAATGAGGAGGATCTTTAATATTAGTTAGTAGAAGCGGAAGGGTAAACAATTCATCTAACAACCGTAGTTCGACCGCGAAGCTGAATCGAGTTCTCCTGGCGTGAAAGGGTGAAAAAGCGTGCGTGGCTTCTTCCTGTCAAGAACTATTCGTTATACTTCTACTAACAATCGCGATAGGAAAGTTGCATAAAAATGCTGCATTTTACGCGGAGAAACTTTAGAAGGAAGTCTTCTGAAAGTCTAAAAAGTTCGAACATTCGTAAATTTAAAATTACAGAAATATTCTGGATGAAAGAAGGAAGTTTTCTAAAATCGCGACGCTTGGTTCGCCACCGTTTTAAATTTCTTTCTCATTATTCCTCTTCGTCGTTTTCTTTCTTCCGCTTCTTTTTCTTCGCCCCGTCAATTCGGCAAATCTTCTTTGCTCGATTCTCATCGGAATGCCTTTCATTCTTCCACGAGAATAACGTGTTCCTTTGGGCCGCGGTAAGCCGCCCGCGTTATCCTTGGAACTTCCTTTTTCCAGGATACCCAGAGACAATTTTATATTATTGCATTATATTCCGCGGCGTTGAGGAGCTTGTGAAAATTGCCTCTTTCGAAGATTATCGTATTATCTGCCGCGCAAGTGGCTATATAATGAGAATCTATACTTGCTTTAAAAATATATTTGCAACGTTACTTTTTCTTACGTTCTTAACGATAATTTTTCTATACCAATGCTGTATATCATTTTGTTTAATAAACTTTTACTCCGTACAGAGTCGAAACAACCCGAAGAATATTCAGAATTTAAGATCAGAACAGCTACTCCATCAAACGTTATCGTTCTATGATATCGAATGTATCCAAGTATTCGAAGCAGTGTCAATAGTGCAGGTCACGTATAGAAAACTTCTGAAAACTCTTCCGTCCACGTTTTCTGTCTCGTAATCGTCAGTTCCTTCTTCCCTTCGTCTTGCTCTTGTGTAATCGATTTGCGGAAGTGCCGATAAGTAAAACGTTATCGTCGGTCCTTCTATGGGAAAGATAAACGGTCGAGCAGCTTGTCTTTCTTTCTCTTTTCCTTTTTGTAAAAAGAACTGTGGCAAAGGACGATACTCGTCAACCAACACCTTTCATTTGTTCAAGAAATACTGCACTTCTCAAATTTTAGGTACAAACTTTCAAATTTAGAACTTTGAGATTTTGAGGCTCCTTTTAAAACTTTCGACTGTAGGAAAGAATGTGAATTTTAAAACTTGAGACTTTGGAATTTTTACCCTTTTAAGTGTTAGATTGTTATGGAACTTTATGGCATTGCAACTTTGAGACTTTGGAAATTTTTAACTTTGAAACTCAGATCCTTTAGAACGCCTCTGACAACTTAGACAACTCTTGACAAAAATTGAAGGAATGGAAAAATGGATGGATCACGTGGATGAGAAACAAGAGCACGTCTCGTGGAAAGAAGACACAGGAGGAAAATGGTGGTTCTGGAGGGGAGATGGCGACGATATTGCAGCTTGTATACCCGAGGCAACAGGGCTCATATCAAGCCGACGACAATGTCCCCCATAATGCCGACAGTCCGGCATTGTCCGCTATTGGCGTGCGGATATCTTTGCCGGTCGCGTGCAAAACCTTGGCAATCTTGGTGCCGAGGGTACGTCTTGGTGCCGGTTCGATATTGATGGACATCGAACGGACGTTTAATCGTTCCTTGGCCGGCACGGTGTCGTTTATTTGGCCCTCGTTCGTGTCGTCCAGCATCAAAATTACAATGGCCACCGCGTGGCCGTGGGCTATCGACGAGAGTTCCTCAGGAATTCGATTCTTCGGGATTCCATGCTGTGGACTCTTCGGGTAACGAGACGTTATTGTAGCTAGTGACGAACGATAGAAGATGGAGTTTGGAGTTTCCGGAGTGAACACGGTGTAATCGGATGGAAAGGTGTCTGTCCTTGCAAAAGGGTGCGAGGGTGAAGGTAAACTGGGATGAAGGTTAATTAACCTACGCTCTCTGCAATTTCGTGCTTCGATGATTCTTGAAAAGTTGCAATTTCGAATGTCCCACTTAGGTTAATTTCGTTTCAGTAACAAATTAATAATACGAAGGTTTTTGTCGTAATTTATACCATTACTTCCCAGCGTGCCAAGTTGCCTACTACAAGGAATAAATAGTTAAGTAATCGTTCCGAAATAATCCATTTTCCGCGAAGTTTGAAAGCATGGAAAAGAAGTGGAACAAAAAGCACGAGACATCATCGTAGAGATTGCTGAAGCGACAACAACGGTGTCCCGCGACGTCGAATGGTAAGGGTGGGAATGGGTGCGTCGAAAAGCTCGCTGATTACTCCATTGTCGAGCCGGTTGTTTCAGTTAATCGCCACGCCTCGTGGCGTTTTGTTGTCCTTTTATCGCGCCGTCCTGTCGGCCAGTTGCCAGCTGCATCCAACCGGATACCAAAGGGGTGCATCCTGAAATTCAAGGAAACGACGGGCCGTCGCGAAATTCTTTAACGACGTCACCTCGAAACTGCGCTGACAAGGATTACCGCCAAACTTCAAGAAAGTATTTCTTTTTCTCGAGTTTTATGATTATCAATCACTGGTATTCTGTCAGACGAAAATTATAATCGAGCGAGGTTTGTTGCAAATTCTTCCCGCTAACCCCAGAAGTAATAATTTTTCATAATCGAGTCGATAAGTAGCGGTGAAACATCAAAGAAACGTGAAAGGATCGTTTCTAATAAAATGGCAAGATTAGTAGAGGCGTGTGTCGGTACAGGGGTGGTTCAGCCCTCGGTCGCGTTTATGATACATTCGAGTCACATAGGAGCCTGCCACCGTTCGATGTATTCATCGTATGTAACCCGAACGGGACTCCATAAAATACTACCCTTCCACACGATTTTGTTCGGCCGAATAAGTTATTGTAGCGCGCTCTATTTTGATACGGCGACGCCTGGCCGACCGGTTGCACGCTGAATACCGAATGCCGCGTATATATTCGGCCAAACAAAGTGGAATTCGATTTTATGGGGCCTCGAGGAACGCCGGTGTACGCGCGATACGGACAATCGAGTCTCGTTTACGGGGAACGCCCTTTCGCGGATCTCTCTTTTATCTTCTCCATTCTCCTGACACCGAGATGACCCGCTCTCTTTCTCTTTGTCGCCAAGAAAATTAGGTCTTGCAAGAAATTGTAATGATACTGCTGAAAGTATTCAAAAATACTCATCGACTGATCGAACTGATCTCGAAAATTTCACATGAACTCTTAAATTTCTAACTCTCTCAAAATTATCAAATTCCTAAATCATCGTTGTATTCGCGTGAGCCGAAAGATCACAGGCCCTCGAAAAAATTCACTGTGCACCCATTACGTCATATCCTCCCAAACAGAAGGTTCCCAAAAGATCTGAAGGCCCTCTTATCATCGGACAACTGCACCCCGTTCAGAAACGATGTTTCAGAGTGAGAAAATTCAACCGAATGACTCACGATTCAAGCGACGACGTTTACAGTGATAGATAACTCCAGACGTACAGGGTGTAACGTGTTGGATTATCAATCATAATCGGAAAATAATTATCCGCAGGCCGACGAGTTCCGTGGCGGACGAACGAATGGTACGTTGGCTTGTCCGGATGGTAAAACGGCACCTGAATCGCCGCTAATTGTGAGGAATGGTCCCTCGTCGACCGATCGCTGATTCGACGGACGATACAGGCAGTGAGAGTGTACACCTGGAAAGTGAAGCTCGATATTAGACTTCGACAAGACGAGTTTTACGAGTTGCCAGACGATACAACCATTTTGCGATCGCCATTAAACACTGCTGTAAATAGGCACCATTGTATGCACACATACACTATTCACTCTATGTTGAGCTTTGTAAATGAAGATACATCGTGTTTGCAACACATTTCTCATTCGATATCTTTTCGTTAATTATTTGGATTCGATATCTTGGTAGTTGAGAATTTTTCAAATGTAGACACATGTGAGCTGTTCATTATCCCTTAGGGGTTTATCCATTATTCTGATAGGAATGATACGAAATGAAATTGTTTGTATGAAAAGTTGTAAACAAGTAGAAAGAAAGTAATTGATCGACGAAGAGGGGGTGGATCGTCGACGCGGTATCCCGAAATTAAGGAGCCGTCGGCGACGGGACGTCGGAAAGCCGGATTGTTTCATTGATGAGGGAGCATTCAAGGCCGTAGTAGGCAGCAGCAGCAAAAGTGGGCACCCAGGGTGTGCAGAGGAGGGTGCCTACGACGTTTACGAGTCCGCTAGCAACCCTCTTTCGGACCACGTTGCGCGATGAATGGTATAATCAGCGGTCGCGTGCCACCCCCATCGGCTTAAAGAGCGACCAAGATGATAACGGAAGAGGAATGGAGAAAGAGAGAACGACCGCTGATAGAGAAATTCCCGTTCGAGTCTTCGCTATCATCGGAATCGAGAGAAAATGCGAACGTGGAAAAGTCACTTAACGTCCTTCCACCCCTGCCTCTTCGTTTTAGTCGTCTCGTTTCCTTCGCGGAGGGTTGTTCTTTTCCAGTTTGTCGTGATCTTTTCAGGGATATATTGTGTACAAACATGGGGGTGCTGTGTATGAAATTTCAATTTTAACTACCCTTAATATGTTTTATTTCTCACTCGTACTTGACAGCAGCTAACTCGGAATAAATGTTTAAAAGTATAATAATAATGTAAAATTGTATAGAAAGAGAGAGCAAGGAAAGAACGAAAGCAGGGAAAACGGGAGGCGTGATGTTTGCTAGCGATACAAGCTAATTGAAAGTGTCAGTGTGGAGATAAGGGTGTTGCATCATGGAGAGCGTGAAAAGAGACACGGCTCCCCTTTCGAGTTCTTTTCTTCTCGTCGATGACCGATAAAAATCGTGCTCACACCCCGCACGAACGACGGAGAATGTGTAACGAGGGGGGACGATAAAGGAACGCTGACAGAATGACAGTCGACCGACTCATTCAACATCGTGTAGTGAATTTATGATCGAGTTAATAACAGAACAAATAGCTGATTGCTCTTGATAACCTATCCATTCGTTCACCCTTCTTCCACTCTTTTTCATTTATACGCGATTGTTCTTCGATCATTATTTAGTACAAATTAAAAATTGCAGTCATAAATCCAAGACATACATCTGTAGCAAATTCGTGATCATTTCTCCAAGATAGAATACATAGCTTTTTCTGCAGATGAATATATTTGAAATCTTTCCGGAAATTCGACGGCAGCATAACAGTCGCTTCTTTATGGAACCTGGAATTCACAAAGGTGTTGCCACCAACACATAGCCACTCTTGTCTCGTTTTATACCTCCTCTTTATCGTCTTATCACTGAAGACGTCTTTAGCCATGGTCCTGTTCCCCCTTGCTTCTTCCACAAGACATTGCCAGGACTGATAACATTTATTTCAAGAAATAAGGCCCTGCTCGTACAACGAGCGAACAAAGAGTGAAAATATTTCTGTATTCCATGGTGGTTGAAATACATTAATCGTGCGTATCGTGTTAAAATTCTATGGAACACGTTCCAGTATTAAGAACTATTCTACATATTAGTTGAGGGGCAAGTTAATTATTAATAAGAAAAGTTAAGGTCAGTTCAAGGTTATTATGTGACCTCCACAGCACTTTTGTCATCAATTATAAGTAAACCAAATTAATTTTATTGATCTCTCAACAAATCCAGATTGCAAAATTCATCAATTAACAAAAGATCATCGATCTCTAAAAACGTGGAACCATAATTGTACTTTCTACGGATCGAAAAAGTCTGAGCACAACGGACCTCGTCTACTTAGCTCCAGTTCGGGAGGCAATACCCCTGCAACATTGTCTTCGGAGGGCATCAATGTCAGCCGGATGCGACCTGACCATCGGCTGCGACCGAAAAGGTGAGAAAAGCAACGGTAGTACGATAATCTGCGTAACAGACACACAACCGGTGGTTCGACTTTGTCAAACGGCTAGTCAGGAAAGCGAGAAGAGGAAGAGGAAACGTTAGCGACGAAGAAGGAACACCTCCACCTGTTGAACGCGCTTGTGTCCTCGGTCCGCCATGTCGGCGAAGGAGCCAATCGTGGGTGTCCATTAGCCGTGGACGATGGTGGGAGAGAAGGAAGATTGCTGGTTGGCCGATCCTTGTTTCCCCGCGTCCCACGGGACTCCGGCTACTCCGCGGCTCACCGATTCCTCCCTGGCTCATCCCAGACCCCGACGTCACCGAGGTCCTGACGGATCCTTGCCAGTCCTCGTCACGGACGGTATCAATCACACTTGCTGCTGCTCGTTCCGCGTCGGTTCCGTTCTACGCACGTCGTGGATGACCTGTTGATGACTCAAGAATGACCCCGTGAGTGGAAACGATGTGGAAGTTCCTTGGATAATCCCGACCGAGTGAACGTTCGAGTCGGATCCACGTAGAAACTGCAGGACTAGATCGTGTTTGTGTTTGGAAGATGAGCATAGTGACGGAAAGAATTTTTGTAAGGATGAGATGCGATACGGTGATCGTATCGAGGGAGGGTCATTAATCGAGGTTCGAGTCGGTGAGGTCGATCGTCTGAGAGGATTCGAAAGATAAAACGGTAGAGATGTCGTCGAAAACTCTTCACAATGAACATATCAAGAGACCTATGAACGCGTTCATGGTTTGGTCACGAGGTCAGCGACGGAAAATGGCTCAGGAAAACCCTAAGATGCACAACTCTGAGATTTCGAAGAGGCTCGGGGCCGAGTGGAAGCTGCTCAGCGAGAGCGAGAAACGACCCTTCATTGACGAAGCCAAAAGACTTAGGTGAGTACCATTTTCTTTATTAAATCACTGACAGATTTGGAGAACGTTAGCCATGCTCGCTGACAGTTTTTTTATTTTCTAAAACTAAAGCTATTATTTAAATTTGTTAAGTGGTCTGTCATTAACCCTTGAACGACGGGCTGCCACTGTATGTTCTTCAAATCTGGATCACAATTTATTTGGCTTCGTCATTCTAGTACTTTAAAAACCCTTGTAACTATCTACTGACTACTTAAATTTAAAGAAAATTGTAACTTTTATAATGTAACTTGTACCTATCTCCCATTATATTAAGCCTTCTACTTATTTTTTATCATGATGTTACATTGCATCAATGCCACCAACCAAATTCACAATTTTAAGTATGTTTTTCACCTACAAAATTTTAACAATTAATCCTGATACTTGTAACTGGGGAAAAAAGTGATACCGGAAGTTGCCCACCTATCGTTTTCAATCGATGCCCAGGATTATTCTTTTGCCCCGCTAATTGCTCTTTAGTTCACGAGTGGTCGAACGAAATTATCGCATCGAAACGTATCTGCAATAACCGAAGGGGGGGAATGAAAAACGAGAAGGGGAGGCCTCGTACTTCATAATACGGTACATTGTTGCTAAATCTAAGGGCGTGCTGCCCTAAGCCAAGGGGTGGAATAGGGTGAACGAAGTGGTATTTACGGAGGTGGAGGGGGACCAGGCCCTTTATTACCGACCCTGAATATTTAATTATTGTTATGAGTTTATTTAGCTTGCCGTGCAGTGAACAGGTCGAAGAGATTTCACGAATGAACGGCACCACTTTTCTCCTTTTTTTACGACTATTAAATGTCGAAGTGTAGAGGGAAGTTAATTCGAAAGAAATCGATGGATTTTTTTACGATTTGTGGGAGATAATGAAACAGTCGAATTTCCATTACTTTGCGTTATTGAATTAACATCTGTAACATATATAATAAAAATGGAAAGGTTGATTCTGTATAATTCGACAAATCGCATCGTCAACATTCTTTAAACCCTAATGCCCAAATCCGCATTTTGGCGGTAAATTTAAATACAGAGAGCGGCGAGAAGAAAAGGATAAAGGACAATAAAAGCGAAATAAAATGGAGAATGGTGAACACAGAGAGACGGGGATTAATTTAAAAGAACGACGACAAAATCCAGTTCTATCACGGTTTTTCTAAAGCAAAAATTGCCAGGATAGGCAATTGATAGGAGGTGGCCTGGGGTTGAATATAAACTCACGGAATCACCCGCCATAGCGATAGGGCTCGTAAAATAAATAATGGAATAATAAAGTCGTTTCTTCTAAAGCGCGTCACCGTCGATTCCCTTTCAATTGCCAAGTGTTCGTATTCACTCAGTTTAAAAAACGCACTGTATCGACAAAAAAGATCACTACATTTATACGTATCGGCGAAATGTAACATCGAATCCGATTTCCTATTGACAACTGTGACAGAATTGAAAAAAGCAGGTATCCAAAAATTTCACTCTTTCGATACCTTTTTTATGTTGTACAGTTTGTTTTTTATCGAATGAACAACGTTGTATGTACACAATATTGATTTTTATCTAATTTCGTTTTATATAAACTGTTCATCTGCAAAGTATTTTCTAAGGGTTACAGTTTAATTGCAAAATCCAAGGAATTCATAAACGACTACTGTCTTTGTAGTATAAAAATTGAAAATCGATATCAACTACATACCCCGAAACATTCCCAAAAAGCAAGAGCAGGGTGGGAAGTAAAATTTCGAGCAAAGAGTAACCAACGAATCCGCTTTTCTGGCGGATGGCAGCACCGGTGACGACTTCGGTAACGAGAGGGTGTCTCGACGACGAGGGGGTTACGAGGAACGGTCGTAAAATAAAGAGGAGAGGGCCCGATAAAAGTCGTTTCGTTCCGTTAGAACCACACCGAAGAGCGAGTAGGAACGGGTTCCCCCGTAGCCGTGCCGTCACTGGCCCGACGTAATCTGTCCGTTCGTTCACGGCGACTCACAATGTGGCCCCCGAGATAACAAATAAAGCCCCATTGTCGCAATTGTGTGGATTTAAAAGGATTTGCGCGGCTCCTCTGCCGGCCCGTACCCCTCTCCACCTCGTCGTTCTTGCTCTCACCCTCTTCGTTCGTTCGCTGTGCCGTACTCGTTGCCACTGCTGCTGCCTGTCCGACGATTCCTCCTACCCTCTTCTCGGCGACTTCCTGGTCCCTCGTTCTTCTACTCCGAAGAAACCGAGAAAGAAAATCGGGAGGAAAATGGTGTCGCGAGGGTGGTAACCTCACGCTTTGTGAACAGGAGCGGTTCGTCATGGACACGCTTGGCGACGTTCGAGGGGTGGTCGGGATTAAAGTAACGAGCAGTTGATGTTTGGGGTTTCGGGTTTTTCTCCGCTGTAGTAAAGGGTTAAGAGTCGTATAGATCGCTAACCTGTTCTCGTTCAAATTGTAACGGGGATCTTGCACCCCATGCGGTGGTTGAATTTTTAAAAATTAGAACATCCACAATAATGATCGAACAATCGTGACCCATTAATGATAATATCGTCGCCGAACGCGACGACACGAATCGTGAAAGGTGAACATTCCGCAGCCGAGAAAGTCCGTCGATCATTGGCAACACAATCACGTTTATGACGAATCGTTACACTAATGATATTCGCGTAGCCACCGGCGGACAATCGTGACTAATTGTTATTGTTTCTTGTTGCGGTTGCCGCGAGCGCAACTACCGCGCGGCTTATGTCCACCGATATGATATAACGCGTTGTTTATCGCGCCGTTGGAGAGTGGTGTGGTCGCAAGAGAGTAATGGTGGTGGTTGTGTTGGTAACAACGATGATGGCGGTAGTGGTGATGGTGGTGGTGGAGGGCTCCCAGCGAATTGTAAAGATTACGCCCGATGTTTATGCATTTATGCTGAATTATTGTCGGCGGGGCTTTACCGATGTTTATGCTGATTTACGCTTTGTGCTATCTGCCGGGACACATTGTCCCGGAATTATTATTCCGCTGCGTCACTCTCGCCACGAGAAACCGAAATTTCGGATTTCGTTCGCGAGCTGGAAAATTCACGCCACCCCTTACCACCACCGACATCGCGGTGGGGGTTATTCGATATTTCGTTTCGAAGGAACGTTTTATTCTTGCTTTCTCTACACGCAAGTTCAAATTCTTGCACACTAGACTTTTTCAAGTTCCTCCAGTATATAAAATATAATTTATTTAGGTCAAGTTTTACGACATACGAGACAGACGAACGCTAACTAATAAGCACACAACCACCTCGAGGAAACAAATCTTACACGAATTTAAGCAGATATAGTGCACGTGTAGCCGAGAGAATTTCGCGCGAAAAAAGGAGAGCTCCCGGCCGTGAAACAGCTATCTCGTTCGCTTTCTTTTATCTACACGAGGCGAAGCATAAATAAGGACTGCGTTTGTGCGCCTCTTGGGTACATAATGGAGTATTATGCGATGGAGATACCACCGGGGTTCTGACTCTGCCCCTCTCCCCCTCTCTCAGCAGCCCTGCTGCGCCTCCGACCGGGGTGTGTGTACAAGATATTTACTACAAATACCCATGGTGGGCCGTATCGTGTCCTAGCACCACGATAATACGTCCCTTTGTACGGATAACGGTGTCGAAAGCAAAGTTTACCGAATTCTAGAGTGTCTCGTAGTGCGATTCTTCGCGCGATAACGAACGACACCTCTATCAAACATGCATATGTATATCGATGGGATTATTGTCTATAGTTTTGCGAAAGTCTTTTCTTTCCGATAGATTTCCAGTTCCTTATTTTTAATTACATAATTTATTAGGAAATGAATGAACATTATGTATCGCGAACTGTTACATAATTACACACCCTAATAAAAGATGACGATATCGTTCTGAACATAGCCTAACATTTTCGTTGCAGAGCCCTCCACATGAAGGAGCATCCCGACTACAAGTACCGTCCTCGCAGGAAGCCGAAATCGCTGGTAAAGAAGGAAAACAAGTTTGGCTTCTCGATATCGCCGTTGATGTCCTCGGGTGAAACCCTAGGCAACATATCGAGAGGTCTGTTACCTCCTCTAGCGCCTCCGTCCCATCACACCCTGATGAGCCACGAGGACCTCAAGATTCCTCGATTTTTCCCGCCGTTTCCATACCCTCTCTACCCTATTCAGCACAAGCTCGGAGAGGAGTTCAATGGCGGCAAACTGGCTGCAGACTTAGCCTTTCAAGCCCTCTACGGAGGCAGCACCTTTTACTCGGGTCATCAGACGATGTCCTGGCCAGGGCTATCCACGGCCACCTGTATCCAACCTAACTGCGGTTGTCCGAGTCCCCCGAAGGACCCGAAGAGGCCGTACGTGCCCACGAAACTGGAAGACAGATCGTTTCCTAGTCCAGGAAAGCCCGAAGACGATGGATTCCCGTCGGACAGAGACTCCAGCAGGGAGGAGCGGTACAGAAAGATGGACGAGGACACCTTCTCGTCGTCCGTGGACAGACACCAAGAAGATAGGTCCCAAGATCGTTTCTCTTCGTCTTCGTCGTCCTCGCCGACTGATCAGACCGAAAAGGTGTCCAACACTGTCTCCACGACACCGAACACGACGGCCACGAAAGTAGAGAGTCCGTTCTCGGTTCAGAATCTAACGTCATCCAGCTCGAACTTGAGTGCTCATCACGGCCACGTCATATGAAGGCCGCTTCCGGTTCTCCCGGACCTCAACTTCCGGGGGAACCTGGTACCCGCTGGATGGCCCAGTACCGACTGGTGGAGAGTCCCACCGATGCTGTCCCCGATTCCTCAGGCCACCGTCACGAATCTGAACGCAGCAAAAGAGGACGAGATGCAATTCCAAGTGGATCAACAAAGGACCTCGGTGATGGCTAGGTCCAGGAACATTCACATCGCCAATGTACAGTGATCCCTCGTGAAGATTGCACGATGAAGAATGTTCTATCGGAGGTCTGTGTGATTAAGTCTTAACGTGACACTGCGAGTAATCAAGTAATCGATTTGGACAGTGTAAGAGTTCTTGGAGTTTGAAACTTCGGGAATGCATATGCTAATCCTGCGAAGTCCACGGTGGGTTGGAAACGGACTCGTAACTTGTTGCATTGTGTGATAATTTGACGATTCTACATTTAGTGCTGGCATTTTTTTTTAAGGTATACAGGGTGGAACTAACTTTGATTATCTGGATTATTCTGGGGGTAGATTTACAAAAGTTAAGGTGTCTGACTGCCATTTAACTCGTTCATAATCTATCAGTTCAGATAGTATTACGTTGTTGATGCCTGTTAAAAACACATTGTGAAACTTCATCTGCTCATACTTTAACAAAGAACTTTAAAAGTAATTACAATTGCAAACTGCAGCATAAAAGCATAAAGGTTATATTACTGTTTTAAAGTTAAAACGATCAAAGTTAGTAGGAGTTCCATCCTGTACACAGAACCTTTAGCCAAGTGTTGAAATTTGCATAAAGCTGGAGAATTTTTCAAGCGAATCGTCGAAACAGTTTGGTAGTAACTACTCGAAAGCAGTTCGAACTCATCTTCGGACGCAAAAGAGTCCGACGTTCGTTATGCGAGCCGACGTTGGATAGCAAAGCCGAATCGATAACTCGCCACGGCCGAAATCCCACAAAGAGAGAGAGACGGAATGGTTCTTTCTAGCAAAGCTTGTGTGCAGGGACTCGCGGAAGAGTCCAATTTTGATGAGATAACCAACCCTCTCGTGGCACATATTACCGTACACGCGAGCCAAAGCGGAACGGGAGAACAGAAAGAGCCGGTGGTCCATAGAAGAGAGAAAGAGAGGGTGAAAAAAGAAAAAACCCTCTTCGAGCAGAGAGGCAAATCTCTTCTTTGGGACTCGGCCATGCGAAATAAGCCAAACGTTTCTGAATGCTAACGTAGATGCGACACAGCGGACCTGTACACACGTTATATACCCCCCTCGCGAGATCATTTTATTGCGTCGCGGTGCCCAGCGTCGCGCATCGATACCGAAACTACCCGATATTTTATCTTCATGTCTCATATTTTCAGTAATTGGTGTTGCAACAAGATTAAGACTGTAGAAATTTCTGATACAGTAAATTCGAAGTCTCTGAAAATTTTCGAATCCGAAACTAATTTACATGGCCAATAAATGAGTGTACAATTGGTGAAAAAGTAGCGCAACTAAAATGAATAGAAACATTTATCGTTGTGACGCGAAAAAGTGCAACCTCGAAATTTTTTACTGTGAACCTTCAAACGACCGGGCAGCAATGATAAAGCGATCAATTCGGTGAAATTGTTTGCAGATACGGTATTCTGTATACGAATCGTTGAATTCGTTATGAACAAGCCCAGGACAACGCTTGTAGCTGATTTCTCAACGTTCAGTGTCCGTATTTTTGAAATTTTACACGCTTGTTTTGGTCCCGGCTCGCGCCACCCCCGTCGCTCGTATTTTTCAGCCGAAAAATGAAAACGACACGGTATAATGGAACGTAATTTCCGTGGACACTTTCCCTATAGAAAATGTATACAGTAAATGGTAACGATCGTAGGAAATCGGCGTATCACGTGGACCGGTTGCAGGATTATTAAGAAGCATTGTACTGTATCGTATATAAAGAATAGAAACATATCCTTCCACGTATTCAAGTAAGTTCCTTTCGATCGTCGTAAGCTTTTTTTTGGAAACAAAGGAGAACGGTAGCGATCGTATAATCCGTCGAACTCTTTGTTAACACTAGAATAACCGGGACTGTTATCTAGCTTTAAAGTAGAGTTTATGTAATTATGTTGGTTCTTGTTTAAGATGAAAATCTTTTGTAAATTTAGGAATTCCTATGTGGACATGCACACCTCGATAAATTTGAACCTAGTTTTTTTATAAGCTTGGTTGTTCTAGTGTTACATCTCGAAAACGCTGGCTGCGTTGATTCCCCGACATACACGTAATCATTGTTAATTATCTGCTGTAATATAATGCGACATTTGTAAATAAATTGAATCTTAATCGAATGTATTGTGTTGTATCTATCTCCTAAACATTACAAAGTTTAAATGAAAACCCTAAAACATCACAGATTAAAATGTCTATTTTACAATTTCTCTATAGCATAAATCATTAAATTTGAGAAAAATCCTTCGTAGTCACAAAATGATCCTTGACACCGAACCCCGCAAAAAGCAAACCATCTTTGAAAAGGCAGCTCGAATTTGTAGAAGTAATCGGAGGGTATGTGAAGAAATCGTCGACGGAGAAAATCTGAGGAACGAGAAGGAGGAACCTCCACGCCTTTCCTTTCGACCCTCGAACCACCCCTCCATCTCGTCGTGTTTTATTTCTGATAGCGACGCCTCCGTCGCCGCCGCGGGGACATTATCGCCACCGCGAAGGACCCTTTCTTCCCCCATAAAGGCAATCACGCTTTCTTCGTGCCGAGATAACAGCAGAATGGAGAGCCAGAAACGTCTCCGTAAACATCAGCGAATTCCAGGACAATTCTATAATTCTCGCTCGCTCTAACTACGAGCCAAGACCATTCGCACCCCTTTCTACTCGTTCAATTTTTCTTCGCGAAAGTTCATTATTATTTGTTCACGAGTCAAAAACCAAAAAGTCTCAAAATGAAATATGAGTCTAGATGAAGGTTGAAATAACGTCATGAAAAAATATGTTTGTCAATTCTTTTAGCCTGTAGATACAAATTTTTTCTGTTCTTCATCGAAATAAGTGGCCGCGATTACGGTGTCGAATAGGAACGACCGGAACTTGAAAGAACCGACGTAGACTGGAAATGCGTGGTGGGTGTTCCGATTCGAAAGTGATTACATTTGACTTGGATTCGTGCCTCCTTACAGCAAAGGCAGCCACTGCCGCTACAGAGCCCCGGCAACGAGGACATTCTTCCTCGACAATACCTCCCACAATCGAGCGAGCTGCGCTTCCGCGAATACTAATGGAGAACGCCTAGACTCCTTTGGCCAGCCAACATTCGCCACCCTCGCCACCCTTTCGGCAACCCCTAGAAAACTTCTACCGAGACATCCCTTTTCTACGAGAGAATTCATAAACGATAGACTTTTCCTACCGAATGTTGCGTTTTTTTTCGACGAAGGGATTTCTAGGAATATTTAATGAAATTTTTATTGCACATTACATTCGCTTACCAAAAAAGAAAACCCTTTCGAAGATAAAAAAATGGAACGTCGAACAATCGATAACGCTACGTACGTATCCTCGACAATGTAGGGATTTAAAAATCTTTTGGAATCGCGGTTCGAACTAAGGAGAAAGGGGGTGGAGAACTCGAGGACGGCGTTTCTCGCGAGTGCAAATTATTTTTCACGTGGCAACCATCCCCCGATAGAGGCTCAGGAATCCATGCACCAATGGATATGCAACGGAGGCAAAACATAATGCAACGTTCGCTTCTCTCTTCTCTCCGCTCTTCTATTTCCCGTGCCAACAAAGGAAGGATTTGTCGCGAAGCGAAGCTCTGCCGCCGACAAAACCTTACCCTCCCTCCAACCCCTCTTCACCTGTCTATTCGTACGCTTTGTAAAGCTTTTAGCCCATTACGAGAGCGTACGCGTTCGGCTCGTCGATTGATGTAATGCTATTCTAGCACGTGAGCATATTTATACTTATGCATATTCCTTCGACGCCACTGAATCGTGCGTACACGATTAATACGTACACCATATTATACTATCATTGGGGTGCGGTACACGTACATCTATTTTTGTATTTTTGTTTCCTTTCGGGGGATTAATGTTCACGATGCGGGGGGTTGTGTAAAATGAACCACCAGTTTGGAGAAATACGAAGGGACAGTTTTAAGTACGCCGACTCTTAGAACGAGTAAATATCCATAAGAGCACAGCTCGTATTATAAGATATCCTTCTCCTACGTCGTCCTTTTTTTAAAGAAATCTACTGTGCTGCATGTTGGTAGCGTCTAACCGTTTGCACATTGATGAAAGAATTCCCAGTAATGGATCGTTGAAGAAACGATAATAACCGAGTCTGATCGAATTTGTATATTTGTCAAATACTTATCGTGGATTACTGGCACGTTTCAGTCGCTTCCATTACCCTTTGAATCGATTCAAACTCTCAAGTTCCACTTCTGTGGTACACTATCGATCTTACCGATGTCTCAAAATTTTAACCGATTCATAAAACTACTCTTGGAGCTTCCCAAAATCAATACGCCAAATGACTCTAAGAATGCTTAAAAAGATCTCCAAATACAAATTTTCAAAATCGGTCAGAACAGTGGTCCGATTTTTCTCTGTGAAAAAGAGGTTGCCTTTTACGGATCCGATAAGTCCGTGGAAAATCGTCGAAAGGAAATAAAATCAATTTCGTATCGTACGGGAGAAAAAACAGAGTTAGGGTAAGAGGTGTCTGCGGTACACGGTGGAACCGGAAGGAAGAGGCACAAGAGGCTTCGGAGAAGAGGAGAGGATGCAGGAAAAGCGGAGAGGCTGGAGAAAGGATGTACGACTGCATCGAGGCACTTTCGAAATATCAATTTGAAACAGCCACGGCTATAGGTATGCGTCATACTTTCCACCGGCCATTATGGCCGGCTTTCCATTTTTATTTATATTTACCGCGCCACGGGAGCTGGCAGCCCCTAACAGCCGCGATTTTAGATCCGTCGCTCTGCGGGTCAACCGTGGAAACGAGAGGGAAAGCCGGAGAGGAACCATCGCGTCCTCGATGCCAACGATATTTTACGACATTTTGTTTCCAATCCGCGGAAAAAGGTGTCGGGGCATCACCGGGCCTTATTCGACTTTTACGACCTTAAATCGTGACGAAGTGTCCCTGGAATGGACCTTTTTATTTTCCTCGCGAGAAACGATGACGATCGATTTTCCCGTCTCGTTCGTTATTATACGCTCTTAAGTCGCTTAAATTTCCTACCCGTTCAACTCTTCTTTTTTCGTTAGTCGAAAATGTTCTCGAACATTTATTCTTTAACTTCTTTGAGAAATACAGAGGAGTTGGAACCGACAACGTTCACGAATCTCGGTGTCATGCTCCGTCAATTTATGGACTTTACTTCCCAAGATCTTACGACCCTCGTTCTGGGTGCTCATCTTGACCGGAAGTTGGCAGGGCGGCGACCGTTGGCCGCTTTCGGTTTTTCAATTTCGCATAATGTCTGGCATGGTCTATCGTGTTCGAAAAACGTAGTCGTGATAAGATAGCCAAGGTGGCCAATACCAGGGGAATTTACGCTGGGCATAAGTTTGCCTTATATATGAGCGTCCACGGGAAATGCGACGATCCTATCGGTCGAGGCCGGGTCATGGAGATCCGTCCGTGAAATGTTGCCCCGGCTACTATTTTACTAGTTTCTCGGGTAGCTGACGTGTTCGAAAAGCGACCTATGCTTCGCACATACCCGAAAACGTCGGGAACGAATGGAGATAAACTGGAGGCCATGTCTTGAAAAGGGCTTCTCCAAAAGGTTATTTGTTACCAGAAAGTGTTCGCGAATTTGGGAATTTATTTATACTACGACTAATAATTATATTTCTGAGAGTCATAAGTCTCTGACGTCGTGTTTAAATGCCACGATTTTCACTTTTGTGAAATTCCAACAATCGCAAAGAAGACAAGACGATTGTTGGCAACCTGGACGTGATACCACGGTATTAAACCGACGGGGATCCCGAAAACCCTTGGATTGTCTGCAGCACAGCCTGAAATAACAATAACCCCATTCAGCGTGGTGGCATTTGACAGTGGGGTCGGAAACAATGAAACAATCAACCCGCACCACCGCCTCTCTTCGGGCTATGGAAGTGGCGAGAAGAGGCCGGAAGTCAACAGTACCGGACAATACCGGGCGGCGTCTGACTACCGTTTCTAATTAGCCAAGTTCACCAACTTCAGCCGGACTTGACGACCCTTAAATGCATAATTATTGCTGATACTCTACCTACTGCCACTTCTACGTGCCACAACTACTCGACAATATTTGGGTCATGGTCCTAATTATCCACATTGCAGACACGTTGTCATAATACATACGCATACAGTCACAGATGAATTTATGAACTTGACACCTTTGGACTCAATTGTGTTTCGAAACACATACCATGGAGGCTTTCTTGTAAAAGAATAATGGTTACAATAACTTTCTGTAAGATTTCACCGCACGAAATTTGCAAAATGCAAACGAGCAAGGAAAGAAGAAGACAGGAGAGGTTTGATCCAGGGAGGTTGACGCTATTAACGTACTTCTCACCACCCTCTCCTTTCCTTCACCCTATGCTGCATCCCTCCCTGCGTTTCACTGCATTTTATTATTCGTATAATCGGATCTGGGACGGCGATAGCGCCGGTGATTTCGGGTTTGTCTACGGTAACGCAGTTGTCGGCCCGACAATGCCAGCTCTGAATGCCTCATTGTCTGCCAGGACCGACGCCCACTCAAAACTTCCACTCGCGCCATCGTCGCCCGTCATTTTCCGCAATCAAACGATTCGTGCTTTGAGCCACCTACCCCTCCAGTGTCTGCGAAACCACTTACATATAATTGCGCATCGACGACAATTAAAAAACGTCTTCTTTCGAGCTGTCCTACGTTTCTCTACGCTCGAAGAGAATATTTTGTATCGTTTCTCTAATGAAAGACTATTAAATCTGTTGACGAAATGTACCACATACTCAGTAAGCCAACTTTTAAATGGAAAAAATTAAAAATTGATTTGTGCGGAAATAATTCCTCTCATAATCAACACCAACGAGTGCAAACATAATTTCTCTCTTTAAATCTCGGCCCACGTTTACCTCTACCCCTCCTCCGGTAATTGAATTCTTAGCCGAGATTACTTTAGCTTTCGCCATTTACTTCAGCTGAAGCATCTTGCAGCGAAGCTTGAGCTCCTTCAGCGTCGCTCGAACCCCGCAGGTTATTTAAGATAGATTATTATTCTCCAACCACAACGATGGAG